AAGCCGCTGGGAGAGATCATCCGGAGTTTCGGGGTGCGGTGTTATCTGTACGCAGATGACGTCCAACTCTGTCACTCCTTTCCACCTACTACTAAGGAGGCTGTCCAGGTCCTGAACCGGTGCTTGGCCGCTGTGTCGGACTGGATGAGGGTGAACAAATTGAAACTCAATCCAGACAAGACAGAGGTACTCCTGGTCAGTCGGAAGGCCGAACAGGGTATAGGGTTACAGCCTGTGTTAGACGGGGTCGCACTCCCCCTGAAGACGCAGGTTTGCAGCTTGGGTGTGACTCTGGATTCTTCGCTAAGCTTGGAACCCCAAGTCTCGGCGGTTTCCAGAGGAGCATTTGCACAGCTTCGGCTTGTGCGCCAGCTGCGCCCGTATCTTGGGAGGTCGGACGCTCTTGTCACATCCCGTATAGATTACTGCAACGCGCTCTACGTGGGGTTACCCTTAAAGACTGCCCGGAAGCTTCAGATGGTCCAGCGCTCGGCAGCCAGGTTGCTAACGGGAGCGGCACTCAGGGAGCACACCACCCCCTTGTTGAGCCAGCTCCACTGGCTGCCAATTTGCTACCGGGCACAATTCAAGGTGCTGGCTTTAGCCTATAAAGCCCTACACGGTTCCGGCCCCACTTACCTCTCCGAACGCATCTCCACCTACGAACCGGCAAGAGCGTTAAGATCGTCCGGGGAGGCCCTGCTCTCGGTTCCGCCGGCATCACAAGCGCGGCTGGCGGGCACGAGAGACAGGGCCTTCTCGGTGGTGGCCCCTCGGCTATGGAATGCGTTACCAGTGGACATCAGGCAGGCCCCTTCGTTGCTAGTGTTTCGGAAGAAGGTTAAGACGTGGCTCTATGAGCAGGCATTCGGGTAACTATGCAGCGATAACCAACCTAACAATGACGGCATTGAACAAGGATTGTATAAGGTCTATGAAAACGGAATCTGATTCTAAATGAGGCGTCGATGAATATGTGTATTGTTTGTGGATATTTATTGTTCACTGTTTATTTTTACTGTAAACCGCATTGAGTCGCCGCTCCAGGCTGATAAATGCGGTATACAAATGGAGTAAATAAATAAATAAATAATAAAAAGGGCCTGTCTTAGGTTGACACTTTGCCACTTCAGTTGTGTATTGATAGCTTAGAAACCAGCTCTTTGTCTTTTCTTTCTTTCCCATTTCTCCACAATGGGCCACAGCAATGCGTAGCCAGGTACAGCTAGTATATATATAAAAGCAATGTTTGTTTGTGAGATTAACATACCTAAAAAACCACTGGATGAATTGACACCAAATTTGGACACAATATACCTATCAGGCCAATGAGTGACCTTCACTCATAAAATCACTGAAAAGCACAGCAGAAGAGACTTAAAAGCCAAAAAACAAAAATTGCATTACAACGCACGCTCAGAACCACACACACACACACACATATATATACACACACAAACACACCTATATACAAATATACACACATATGTACACACATATACACAGACTGGGCCACAGCAATGCGTGGCAGGGGATGGCTAGTATTATATATAACCATACAAAACCAATTAAAAAAATAAATCATCAGTGTCTCCTTACTAAAATCATTTTCCAGTTGCATTGTCCAGTCACTCCATGTTTACCTGTTATGCTGCATTTGTGAAAGTTTGCTCGAAGAGCCAGGTTTTGACTTTTTTATGAAATGTCAGGGGGGGGGCAATCTAATATCCTTAGGGGGCATTCCACAGTCAAGGGGCCACCACTAAGGTATTGTATTATTTTTTAATTATTTTTGCACTACAAAAAAGATATGTGCAGTGTGCATAGGGATTCATTTATGGTTTTTTTCAAACTACAGTCCGGCCTTCCGAAAGTCTAAGGGACCATGCACTTGTCTTCTGCTTTAAAAGTTGGATCTAGATTCTATTTCTACAGCCTAGAATTGTATCGGGGAGGGGGGGGGGTTAGTTGCCATGTCATACTGTTAAAGGAGGAAGTATATGAGGAGAAGAATCAAGAGGAAAAGCAGAGAGAGAAGAGGAGTAGGCAGGAGAGGTGGAAGAGGGAAATATGGAGGATGCAGAAAAGATGCAGGAAGAGGTGGAAGGGGAAAGAAGAAGAAGAGAAGAAGCCGGAGAAGGAAGAGAATAAGAAGGAGAAAGTGAAGAAGAAGAAGTAGAGGTGGAGAGAAAGAAAAAGGAAGTCCTTGATAACAATAAATTATCAAGGACTTCCTTGGTAACAATAAATGTAAATCAGATCACAGAGTCTTAGGGCCCTTCTGAACTGCCCCTATAGCCCAGGATTTGATCCCAGATTATCTGGCAGTGGGGACTCATATATTCCAGTTTAAAACAGATAATCTGGGATCAGATCCTGCAATAAAGGGCAGTATGGAAGGGCCCTTACTAGATCCCAAGCTGAACATAAATCAACAGTGTGACGTGGCAGCTGAAAAACCAATGTTATTTTAGGCTGTATCAATAGGAGTATCGTGTAAATCAAGTATACTGTCTAGATTAGTGTTTCCCAACCATTTTTTTGACCAGGGACCACTTTGATCAGGGACCAATCTCCAACATTAGTACCAAAAGGGTTACAAATCAGTTTTTGGTCAACTTTAGATTAACTTTGGTTATTTGGGGTGCTGATTCATAAAACTGCATTGGATAGACCACACCAGCACTAGTTTCTGATACAGAATATTTTCTATGTAGTAGTCACCATCTGCTCACCCACAAAAAACCATATTTAATAAGCCTTGGCACTACAAGAGGGTTTCGCGAGACCAGTCGCTCTCGTTGCAACAGTGTAGGAATGGTGAGGCCACAGATCATATTTTAGTTCTTGCAGACCCGATGTTCCACGGACCACAGGTTGGGAACCACTGGTCTAGATCAATAGTACTGCTCTCTTCTGCTTTTGTCAGACCTCATCTAAAATACTGTGTCCAGTCATGGGAACCACAGTTCACAAAGGACATTGACAAGCTGAAATTTGTCCAGGGGAGGATAAAAGGTTTGGAAACCATGTGACCTCACAACCTCTGAAGATTTATTTATTTGTCATGTCAGGGCAACCAGTCAATTGTATTACATTTCTAACAGAACAAAACAAACAAACAGACAAAAGACAAAATTTGCAAGTTTGGTAGTTGATTAAATGTCTTTTAACCAGTATCTGGCTACTTGGAGTGCTTCTGGTGTTGCTGCAAGAAGGTCCTCCATTGTGCATGTGCCTGCCATAGATGCAGGCAAAACATCAGAAGAGAATGTTTCTGGAGCATGGCCAAACAGCCCCCAAAATGTACAACAACCCAGTGATTCTGGCCATGAAAGCCTTCAACAAAATAAATTATTTTGTTATGCTACTTAAGAAGGATAAAAAGGCCAAAATAAATCACACAAGAAGGCACAATGATGATGCCTCAGAAGGTAGTGGGATTTTCATCTTTGAAGGGCATCTGTCAGGAGGGCTATAGTTAAGTATTTCTTCATGGCAAGGGGAAGGCCTGGGTGATCCTTGTCATCCCTTCCACCTGAGGTTTCTGTGATTCCTACTTTTCTTTCCTACTTCTTCTCTTTGCCCTTCTCATTCTCCTTTCACTCTTACTACTTTTCTTTCTTTCTCTTTCTTTTCTTTTTCATTTCTTTCCCATTCCCTTCCTCATCCTCTTGCTCTTCCTTCTACTTCCTCTCTTTCTTTTTGCTTCCTCCTCTTCTTCCATTTCCCCCCCTTTTCCTCCTCGTCCTCCTCCATTTTTCTCTCTCATTACTGTCCTCTTCCTCCTCTCATCTTTCTCCTCCTTCCTCTGCTTCTTCTTCCACCTTCCACTTCTTCATCCTGTCTTCCTCCTCTCCTCTCCTCTTCTCCTTGCCTTCCTTTTCCCCACAATTTTATTACTCCTTCCTTCTTTTCCTTTCTCCTCCTTCCACTACTTTTCCTTGTCTTTTCCTCTCCCCTTGTCTTCCTCCTGCTGCTACTGCTTTTTCTTGTCAACTCGTTCTTCTTCCCCCTCCTCCCACTTCTTCTCCTTGTCTTCTCCTTCCTCTCTTCCTCGTTTTCCTCCTCCTGCTGCTGCTTCTTCTCCATGTCATCTCATTCTTCTTCCTCCTCCTCCCACTCCTTCTAATTATCTTCACCTTCCCTCTCTTCCTTCCACTTCATCTAATTGTCTTCTCCTTCCTCTCCTCCTTCCACTTCTTCTCCTTCCTCTCCTCCTGCTTCTTCTTGTAATCTCATTCTCCTTCCCCCTTACACTTCTTCTCCTTTTCTTCTCCTTCCCTTACTCATTTTCCTTGTCTCCCTCCTGCTGCTTCTCCCTGTCATCTCATTCTTCTTTCTCCTCCTTCCACTTCTTCTGACTTCTCCTTCCTCAACTCCTTTTCCTTGTCTTCCTGCAGATGCTTCTCCCTGTCATCTAATTCTCCTTCCTCCTCCTCTCCCCACTTCTTCTCCTTGTCTTCTTCTTCCTCTACTTTCTTTCCTCCTTTTCCTTGTTTTCCTCCTGCTGCTGCTTCTCCTTGTCATCTCATTCTCCTTTCCCTCTTCCCACTTCTTCTCCTTGTCTTCTCCTTCCTCTCCTCCTTTTCCTTGTCTTCCTGCTGCTGTTTCTCCTTGTCATCTCATCCTCCTCCCTCCTCCCGCCACTTTTCCTCCCTCCTTTTTTCTCTTTCACTCCTTTCCTTCTTCTTCCCCCTCTTTCCACTTAGAATCATGGAGTTGGGCATGGGCTATCTAGTCCAACCCCCTGCTTCCTCCTCCTCCCCCTTCCACTTTTTCTCCTCGTCGTGGCTGCCTTCCTCTTCGTCCTCATCTTCCTCCCCCCCCTCCTGCCTTCCCCCTTCACCCTCCTTCCCTGTGACCCTCCTCCTCCTCCTTCCCCACAGAGAGCCAGGGTCCGGAGAGGCGAGCCCATCCCTTTAAGCCCTGGCGTTGGGGCTGAAGTCTCCCCGACTTGGAGGGAGGGAGGGAGGGGGAGAGGGAGAGAGGGAGGGGATGGCTTGGTGGCTCTGACATCACGGCCTCATTCGTATGCAGCAGAGGCAGCAGCGGCGGCGAAGGAGGAGGCGACTCCCCAGCGGGGCCAGCCAGTCAAGCAGCCCAGTCGCCCGGCAGCAGCAGCAGCAGGAGGAGGAGGAGGAGGAGGAGGCGGCTCTCACGCAGAGCTATCTCAAGCTCTCCGACTTTCTCCGGGAAGAGAGGGAGGCTGGCTGGATGCAGCAGCCTGGCAGGGTCTCCTGATTCACAGCGGGCTGGGGGCTCCTCTCTGCCGCTGGGGTCCTTTTGGGGGGCGATGGCGTGATGGAGGAAGGGCGACCCATCAGCTGTGCCCAGGAAGGCCAGCTTGAGCCCTCAGACCTCCGCCAAGGCAGGGCAGAAAGCCCACGGTGCCCTCTGATGCTTTGGCCAAGCCAGTCGCTCTCCCTTGGCTTGGACGTGGGTCAAACACTGCAAATATAGCTCCGGGAGATCTCTCCATAGCTGTATCTTCTGGAGGGAGGGAAGGAAAAGGACTTGACAATGCTGCAGTGTTTTCCTGGGGCTTGGAAGGAAAGGAGGCACCAAAGGAAAGTCAACCAAAGCAGCAACTGAAGGAGAAGAGGAAGAAGAAGAAGGGAGGGGACAGCAAAGAGCAGAGGTGTTGAGCAGGACCTCAGCACTTCAGTAAACACCCAACTTACTTCCTAAAAGCTGGATTCGGAATCCATTGGAACAGGTAAAGACTGATGCTTGTCGGTCACAGTTTCGAATTGTCTTGCAGGGGGAAGTTAGAAAATGTATTGTTGAAGGCTTTCATGGCTGGAATCACTGGGTTGCTGTGAGTTTTCTGGGCTGTCTGGCCATGTTCCAGAAGCATTCCCTCCTGATGTTTCATGGAATCATAGAGTTGGAAGAGACCTCATGGGCTATCCAGTCCAACCCCCTGCCAAGAAGCAGGATAATTGCACCCAAAGCACCCCCGACAGATGGCCATCCAGCCTCTGTTTAAAAACTTCCAAAGAAGGAGCCCCCACCACACTCCAGGGCAGAGAGTTTCACTTCTGAACAGCTTTCACAGTCAGGAAGTTCTTCCTAATGTTCAGATTGAATCTCCTTTCTTGTAGTTTGAAGCCACTGTTTCACATCCTAGTCTCCAGAGCAGCAGAAAACAAGCTTGCTCTCTCCTCCCTATGACTTCCTCTCACATATTTATACATGGCTATCATGTCTCCTCTCAGCCTTCTCTTCTTTAGGCTAAACATGCCCAGCTCTTTAAGCTGCTCCTCATAGTGCTTGTTCTCCAGACCCTTGATCATTTTAGTCACCCTCCTCTGGATACATTCCAGCTTGTCAATATCTCTCTTCAATTGTGGTGCCCAGAATTGGGCACAATATTCCAGGTGTGGTCTAACCAAGGCAGAATAGAGCATGCAACTATGGCAGGCATCCTCAGAGGTTGTGATGTCTGTCGGAAACTAGGTGGCCAATTGACACATTCACACTAGGCTCAAACAGACAAAAGTTTGTTCTCCCACCCTGGACATTCCACAGATATATAAACCCCATCTTCCTAGTTTCCAACAGACCTCGCAACCCCTGAGGATGCCTGCCATAGATGTAGGCAAAACATCAGGAGAGAATGCTTCTGGAACAAGACCATACAACCCAAAAAACTTACAGCAACCAAGTTAGAAAATGTTGGACCAGACATTCAGACAACTGTTTGCAGGATTGTATAATGTTTTGATCCGTCTTAACCTGTCTTTGGAGCATGTTTGTTTGAAAGGAAGGTCTGTGGAACGGAAAGGCAGTGATGGGATTGTACAGTGTGTTGATCCGTCTTAACCTGTCTTTGGAAGATGTTCATTTGAAAAGAAAGGTCTACGGAAGGGCAAGGCAGTGATGGCAGTAAGGAGAGTGTCAGGGATCTTTCCTCACCACCCAAAAATGGGATAGGAGAGGCACAGGGTGGCAATGTTTTCCAAAGCGTTCACTGAAGCCAACGCTGAATATCATTTGGCATCAGTGGTACCTACCTGCGTCTGGTTTTTTTAAAATCTCCCTGCTGTTGACTGAAATAGTTCAGTGTGAGTCATCAAATTGCTGGGCATTTAAAATCATACAAGTCAAGGATAAGTACTTAAGCCACTTTCTATTTTTCCTTGAAAGAGTCCCTGCGCCCTCCACCCCATCAGCTGTTCCTTCAAAACAAATGTCAGGGCTAATTTTACTGTCTGGCCATTTGGGCTTCCAAATGGCTGGATTCTTTGTGGGCTCTTAAAGCAAACGGATGGTGACGCAGATTTCAATAGGATTTGTGTTGTTGAAGCTTTCATGGCTGTAATCACTGGGTTGCTGTAGTTTTCCGGGCTGTATGGCCATGCTCCAGAAGCATTCTCTCCTGATGTTTCCGCCACATCTACGGCAAGCATCCTCACAGGTTGTAAGGTCTGTTGGAAACAGATATATAAACCTTACTTGTCTATATATTGTGGAAGGCTTTCATGGCCAGAATCACTGGGTTGCTGTGAGTTTTCTGGGCTGTATGTCCATGTTCCAGAAGCATTGTCTCCTGACATTTTGCCTGCATCTATGGCAGGCATCCTCAGAGGTTGTGAGGTCTGTTGGAAACTAAGAAAGTGGGTTTATATGTGTGTGTGTGTGTGTGTTTGGAATGGCCAGGGTGTCTGTTTGAGGCAGGTGTGAATGTTGCAATTGATCAATTTGGTTAGCCTCCCAATCACCTCCCAACAAAGGATACCCTCAGGCAAGAAGTAGCCAGACCTTGAAACTGCAAGGCCATTAAATGCTAATCAAAGTGGCCAATTGCAACATTCACATCTGTCTCAAACAAACAAGAGTTCTTTATCCCACCTTGGACATTCCACAAATATACAAACCCACTTTCTTAGTTTCCAACAGACCTCACAACTTCTGAGGATGCTTGCCATAGATGCAGGTGAAATGTCAGGAGAGTATGCTTCTGGAACATGGTCGTACAGCCCGGAAAACTTACAGCAACACACTCACTTGCCTAGTTTCCAGTAGACCTCACAACCTCTGAGGATGCCTGCCCTAGGTGTGGGCAAAACATGAAGAGAGAATGCTTCTGAAACATGGTCATGCAGCCCAGAAAACTCACAGCAACCCTTCGATCGAATTATTTTTAGGGAGATTGTTTAGTTGATGTTGTTCCTGCTGTTGCAGCTCTTTGATACAGAAAAGACCCTTGACACAGCTTATATCTCACATCTCTGTTTTCTTTAGGAACAGCCAGATCCCTGTAATTCCTGAATTTAGGAGGTTACAGTGTCATCCTCCCTCTGCTTCCCCATTGTTTATCTTTTTCTTTTTTTCTATATCCCTATTTTAGGCTTTTCTTGGGAAGCATTCACCCCAGGCCACATCAACCTGATCCGTGGCCTTGCAGAGATTTTAATCCCACTGGGTTTTGCAAAACCTTATGAACCACCGAGGATTAGGGCAAGAGTTAATTCTGCTCACCACATACAGCATCATTCCTGCAGATAGCTTTTGCTCTCCTTTTCTTAATCTTTTCTGCTTCTCTTTCATCAGTGATTATTTTACTTTACCTCTGGAGAAGCGTTATCAGAGAGCCTTGTACCATTGGATCTCGAGGTATAGGAAAGGCTCCTTGTAGGTTATGCAAAACCCAAATACGCGTTCATGGTTTGCAGGATTTCTTTTGGAGGGTGCTCTTCCTTTCTAGCTCTAAGCTTTCCTTATTTTACCGAGTGAACGTGACTCAGTTAAGCTTCCTTCGACTGCAGTTGTGTCAACACCCACCCACCCACACGCCCATCCTTCTCTTGCCTCTGATTGCTTTCGCAGATGGGCAAGTCCAGTCCTTCTCAAGGGACTCTGAACTTTGAAATAATTACCATATTTAAAAGACTCTGAAGCCTTCTAATATTCCTAAGCATCTTCGTTTCCCCCCTTCTCCTGCTGCATTCGCATTTTCGTCGTTCTCATTGTTCAGAGAGACATATGGACTTCCACTTTTTTGCAAAGGAAAACTGTCCATGTCATATTGGATATTAAATCATGAACCAATGGAGGGAGGGCAGGGTGGATGAGAGTCTTTGCAAAATAATTTCAAAAAATGAATGGCTAAAGGACCTCATAGAATCATAGAATCATTGAGTTGGAGGAGACCTCATGGGCCATCCAGTCCAACCCCCTGCCAAGAAGCAGGACAATCACATTAAAAACACCCCCCAACAGATGGCCATCCAACCTTTGTTTAAAAGCCTTCAAAGAAGGAGCCTCCACCACATTCCAGGGCAGAGAGTTCCACTGCTGAACAGCTCTCACAGTCAGGAAGTTCTTCCTAATGTTCAGGTGGAATCTCCTTTCCTGTAGTTTGCAGCCATTGTTCTGCGTCCTAGTCTCCAGGGCAGCAGAAAACAAGCTTGCTCCCTCCTCCCTATGACTTCCCCTCACATATTTATACATAGCTATCATGTCTTCACTTTGCCTTCTCTTCTACAGGCTAAACATTCCCAGCTCTTTAAGCCACTCCTCATAGGGCTTGTTCTCCAGACCATTGATCATTTTTAGTTGCCCTCCTCTGGACACTTTTCAGCTTGTCAACATCTCCCTTGCACTGTCCAGAATTGGACACAGTATTCCAGGTGTGGCCTGACGAAGGCAGAATAGAAGGGTAGCATGGTTTCTCTGGATCTAGACACTAGACTCCTATTTATGCCAAAATCCCAATGGCTTTTTTTTTTGCCACCCCATGACAGTGTTCCCACGAGGACTCCGAGATCTTTTTCATATGTACTGCTGTTGAGCCAGGCATCGTCCCCCATTCTGTATCTTTGCATTTCCTTTTTTTCTGCCTGTGTGGAGTATCTTCCATTTGTCACTGTTGAACTTCGTTTTGTTAGTTTTGGCCCATCTCTCTAATCTGTTAAGATCGTTTTGGATTTTGCTCCTGTCCAAAGGACCTGGTTCATCTTGTATGTTTTGGAAATTGTGTCATTCAGTTGCATCATTATCAGTGTATCAACTTCACAATGTATGTGCCTATAGGCTTGGCTACATAAACCTGTCTGCAGTTGGGTACACGAAAGAACTCGTCTCAGAAAATAAAGTATGTCTGTATGTAGAAGAGAGATGGAACAACGCATTTTTTCTAAAAGAAACTCTTCTGTTTATTTAAGTGGCAATAAAGGAATCCATTGAGTCAGGATGACTGCATGCGATCTTGCTGAGCTGCAAAGCAATTGAACAGCATAATTAAAAACTGCACCAGATAACCCAGGGAGCAGTATAAGCCTTTGAAACCATGCTGATGCTATACAAACTGCTGTGGAACTGAAAAATCACAGGGTGTGCTTAGAGATGTGTCATTCCCTAGGCTGTCTCCCTGCATCCCCTTCCCGGAGTTCTCTTGAAATGTGGCATCCAGCAAATGGGACACAGCAGCAGTTACTGTTCGGTATCTTAATAGTTCCTGCTAGAATCACAGGCTATTTGGGGTAGTATGCTGGCAGTTCTACCATTAACAAGAACATCCTTGTAGTAAGAGCTGTTTGGCAGTGGAATATGCTGCTTGGGAATGTGGTGGAGTCTCCTTCTCTGGATAGCAGTTTGTCAGGAGTGTTTTGATGAGGATGTTGTGTGGTTTCCAGGCTATATATAAATGTTCTAGCAGCATTTTATCCTGATGTTTCACCTGCATCTGTGGCTGGCATCTTCAGAGGATCT